CCACTTGCTTTGTTTTATGAATTCCTCTTGGCTGAGCTAGAGGAGGAGCCTCTGACAAGGTTCTTGGTGGGCTCAATTATGGAAAACATGGCCTGAGTCATGAGACGAGTGATTGCTGTGTCCCTCTCGCCCATTACGGGAGGCATTCTGAAGATACGGGCAGACTTTTGTTATTTGCCATTGTGGTTAATGAAAAGATGAAATTGGACCCTATGAGCACATGTAGGCAGCTCCATAATTAGCCCTTTGGACAGTGAAAGATCCACTTTAAAATAAAAGAAAATCGCTTTACTCCCACAATGAAATGGCTGCAATTTTCCAGCTGATGCCAAACCTGCAGTGCTTCTGTAATTATGTCCCCTACGTCTTCTATTCACTGTAATTTCTTCCTTTCTCATTCTCTCTTTTCCTTACTTTCTTTTTTTACTTCTAAGTAACTTCCCTTTGGCCCAAAGAAGGCTAAATAATATTATTTGCAAACAGGAGGAAAAAAAACTCTTACTCACACGATGAATGCATTTTATTTGGAAAAGTAAAAAATAAAAACCTAGTAATTACGTTCTTATGCTAATAGAGCTGTATTGTCTAAAATTCAGCCCAACCTATGCAGGTGCGATTTGATCTTCTTTCTTCACAGAAAGGGCAGGCGCCCTGAACATGGAAGGATAGTTTCCTGGGAGGTGTCTGACAGCTGTGGCAAATCACGGGCAGGGTGAGGCAACAAGGGTGATAGGGCCAGACACCCTGGGCTCTGCCCCAGATGAGACCTTGAGACCATCGCCTCACCCCTGTGTGCCTCAGTTTCCTCACCTGTAAAATGCATTAAAATTCCTGCCTCGTAGACCTGTCATGAGCATATAAAAGTGCCTAGCACTGTGCCTGAATCATAGTTAGGGCTCAACAGTACTCGTTATTCCTTTTACCCTGTGGCCATTGAATGAATAAACATTTAACACAGAGAGAGATAGTCTAAGACGGCAGTGACTCACTGGCTTCAGAAAATTTATGGTTTCAGGAGTCTAGAAGATGGCCAAAGAGTGAATCTTTAGATTTTTTTTCAATGCAGCGCTTTGAGGAGTTTTGCAGAAAACAATTTTGCAAGGTAGGTGCTGTTATCCTATTTTACACTTGAGGAAGCAGAGACTCAACAACTTGCCTGAGGCCAGACGTATTTTAAGTAGCAGAGCCAAGTCTTATATCCCAGTCTGACTCCAGAGCCTTCACTCATTTCTCTGCACCTTTGCTCGGATTCTGGTTCCACTGTGTATGAATTTTTCATCTGCAAAATGGGCATGTTGCTTGTCAAAGTGGTCAAGGTCTGGCTTTTGTTATCAGACAGACCTGGATTCAAGTTCTAGATCTCCCACCTCCTAACTGTATAACTTTAGGCAAAAAACTTAACACCTCTAAACTCCATCTGTAAGACAGGAACTCTGATAGAAACTGATTCATAGATGCTGTGGACATAAACAAGATTATTTGGAAAGCAAGTGTGTGCAGTGCCTGACATCTTATAAACATCCAGTAAAATCATAACTTTAATGATCTCCCCTCCTATGTTGTTGTGAAGATTCACTGAGGTAACAGACATGAGAGTCTTTATAACTTGGAAAGTCTAGATCCACATTGGCCCTTACTACAAATTTTCTCTCACTGACTTCCATACCCCTCCTGGTAATAATGGCCATGGGGTCCTTGTTACCCTGTGTGAGAAAACCATCCTTTTACCTCTTAATGCTCTCAGCTCTGAACTATCCCCAGAACTGAGGAGACAGTTACCATATGAAAATGTTTGTATAAGGCTCAGCAGCCAGTGCAGAGGCTTAAGCAATAATACCCCATCTTGATTAGTTCCACTGCAGATCCTAGTCAAACAGTGTCCCCAGTCCCTCAGCACAGGCAGCACTAAGACCTGTCAGGGGCAGGGAGAGGGGGAGTGGCTGGTCTGCAATTAAAAATTCACTGTGGATCACCAGTCAACAAATCATGCCCTTTGGGAAGACTGAAAATTGACTGCAGTGTCAATTTACTGTCCAAGCCTGGGAATCTGTTCTCTCCTCTGGGGACAGAAAAATCGGTGTCTGTCAGATCTAAGAGCCAGGTGGTGGTGGGAGGTCAGACCAGGTAAGGCTGGAAGGGAGGTGTATGACAGACCTGTGGGGGCCAGGATTCCCCCATCCTTCCCTCCCTCACACCATCCCTCCCTCCCTCCCTTCCTCTCCTCCTTCCTTCCTACAAATAATTCCAAGTCCCATTCGAGCCAGGTTGTGGCCTAGGCACTGAGCTAAAAAATGAATCTCACCCAGCTCTTGCCTCAAGGGGTACAGGACAATGATATTCATGGATCAGCCATGATAGAGGCAAGCACAGGTGCTATGGGAGCATAGAGGGGAGCTCAGCCCTGGCGGTGATGTGTGGGCGAAATGTCTAGAGAAGCCTTCCAGAAGATGTGGCATTCAAGCTGAGATTTGAGGAATGTTGGACAAGTGAGGGTGGGACTTAGACAATGGTCCAGTGACACTTGGGGGATACAAATAATTTGGCATGGGTGGAAAGTGGAGTGGCAGAACAGGGAGAGCAAGAATGGAACAGGTGAGGCAGAGAGGCACACTGGGGCTGGGGCTGGACGGGAAGCATCCTGTAAGCCAGGCTGTAGTGAGAAGAATGAGTCAGACAGGCCCTGGGCATGACTGATGGCCTCACATCCTAATTCTGCAATTTAGCAGCTGTATAGCTGTGGGCCAGTCTCTCATCTATGTAAATGAGACTTCTAACACCAACCTCTTAGGGGTAAACCTCTAAGCCAGTGTTTGGCCTATTTGAGCACTCAGCAAATGGTACCTTATTCTTTCCCCCAAATGTGGGAATTGGAGAGAACGTGGGACAGGAAACCAGATAGGCCAGTGTCTGGCCAATAACTTTTTCTTCTCTGGTAGAATCATCTACTGTGAAGCCCTTTAAAACTCATACTGTAGTTAGAACCATAGACTCTGTAGCCCTTCAAAGGTCTCCAGGTAAAGTGTATGGCTTTTGCTGAAGGTCTCATAGGAAGTTAGAGGGGGAAGTTACATCACACATCTTATCAAACTTTTCTAAATATTCTCTTTAAAAAATTCCTTCACCAGCTGCCCCCCACCCCAACTTTTCTTTAAATCTCCAATCCTTTAGCCTCTTCTTTATTACCTTAAAGACATTATGTGGCACAGCTCCAGGGGGTACTCTTCACGTCATAGTCCATGTGTCTGGTGTCCCCCGTTCCCTGTGAGGCTACACTTGGTGGCCCTACTACACCCTCTTCAAAAACCCAACACTTAGTACACTGTTCCTTGCAGACCAAAGCTGTGTAGAACATGTTTCCTTCCCCAAACCTTGGCCCGCCATCATCCCACCACAACTACTTCTTCAAAGTGACTAACCGTTCACCTACATGAGTTCAACCCTCTACAAGGTAATAGGACGCTGTGAGGCAGGCTTATCGCCTCCATTTTACATGTGGGAAAACTAAGGCTCTGAGAGGTTAGTTTAATCACCAAGTTCACAGAGTTATCAAGAGGCACAGCTGCCAATTCCCCTCTTGCAAGCCCATTGCACAATATTCACCATTCTATTCTACTTGGATTGGAGGAAGGAAAGACTGTGCTCTATATTTTTATTTTATTCCTTTAAGGTTTATCACAATTCTGTGCATATACTGGAGACTGAATGAAGAAATTAATGGCAAAAAAGATCAAAAGACTTTAGATCATTAACGACACAATCACTTGTTGTGTTCCTGTTCCATGTGAGGCAGTTAATACAATGATTTAGTTCACTGACTACGCCACCAGACGGCCTGTGTTCCAAGCCCAATTCCGTCACTGGCTGTATGAACTTGAGCAAGTTGCTAACCTCTCTGTGCCTTAGTTTCCATGTCAGTAATTTTGAGATAATTACTTTACATAATTGTTATGATTAAATAATTTCATAGGCGTGAACATTTAGAAAAGAGCCTGCATTTTAGTAAGTGCCATATAAGTTTAGGTTGTTATTATGGCTAAACATATTGGGTGCTCATTCTCTAGCTTGGCTATTCTGGAGAGGGATAATAAAGGGAACAGTAGCTAGATTCTGTTCATTCAAGAGGCTTTGAGGTTTTGAGGGTATTTTAATGACTTTGCTGATTAGTGAAAAAAAGAATTGATCAGCAGGCCAAATTCTTTCAGTCTTGGCCCAGGTGCAGATTCGATTATAACTGAGGTTTAAATCATAAGTTCTGGCTGCCCCAGGAAGCGCAGGTGGTCCTCAGTGCCTGGCCCTTGGGCCCATGCTAATTTGCATGCCTGCATTCAAGTTAACAAAATAGAACAAGTCAGAGCAATGAGTAGGCAAGAGAAAGTCAGGACTTTTTTTTCCCTCCCTTGCGTCTAACAGAATAGAGTCCTTTAATGGAGTAAATGCATTTAGTCATTTATTACTTTAGGAGATGTTTAGGAGAACCACTAACATTAAAAAATAGATGCCACATCCCCGAGCCATGGAAATTCCTTTGACAAACTCAAGCTATAACAGGAAGGCAGTTTTGACATTGAAAGCAGTGGCTGGAATTTTTAAATACATGGATACTTTTATGAAACAATATACTAGCTATCAAATCATATGCCCGGCTTCTATGAGACTGAAAGAGATATTTTCCTCGTATTGCCATTTCCCCACTTCTAGAATACTATTTCATGGCTGGGCGGAGGCGAGTGAGCCTTCTCCTGCTGGAGAGCCCTTCCACTCCAGCCAGTCTTCTGCTTCTGGTACGAAAAAAGCCAAGATAATTACGATGGGTAAGAGCAGTTCCTCCCCTCCCTGCTTTAAATCTGTGGCATTCATGCCACGCCAACCCAGCATCAGAACCCAGGCACTGAGCTTGTCCTGCCTAAGAGAGCACCCCACAGGACAGTGTGTCTGGTTCGTCACAAAATTATGCACCATTTGCACTGTTTGCAGTGCTGCTCGAATTCATAAATACAAACCCTCTTTAGATGGGATCCAGGGTCTTCCTTTCACAGACAGAGAAGTGAAGACATACACGTTTGCTAATATCTGCTTCCACAGCCAGCACATCTCAACCTGAGTTCCAGCTGGGTAGCTCCACGGCCTCAGTGGGCTGTAAGGGCGTTCATTTTTGTTAATTTTGCAGCCGACAGTTTCTTCTCTGGTTTAAGCGGCCTGCGGACGGTGATTTGTTAGTTCTCATTAGAAAGGAAAAGGTGTAGTCCTGCACTCCGTGGCTTTCATAAATCACATTTTCAGGTGGCTTTAGCTGGCTGGAACATTTCTGAGCACAGGGCCCGACATGAATAATCCCAAGGATGTGACACTGTGTCGGCAGCAGCACTTGAAGCACTTCTACGATCCCATCTGTGATTCACCGAACATTCGTGCTGAGGCACAGACAAAGGTGAATTAGTTCCAGACAAAAATGCATCACTGCTCTATTGAATAGTCAATTATTAAACACATAATGGAATCTGTGGTTAGCAAGGCATGCTGAAGATGTGCCATGTTTGCACAATTTTTAACAGGCTGGCTTGTAGTTTTGAAAAGTAAAACAATTCAGTGGTATTTCAGGTAAACTTGGAAACACACATATTTCCTTAGTGGTAAGCGTGGAATTTCTGTTCATTATTCACATTTTCTTCCATTTCTTCCTTTTGTTAGACCTTGAGGCAGTCAACTCTTGAAACTCAGCAGTCAGCAATTCTGGAGGGACTGAATAGGAGTGGATTGTCCAAAGGGGTACCCCATCCAACAGTCTTTATAATTTTAGTTTGTTTTGGCCTTTATTAAACTTATGTGTGAATATGGATGTGTGTGTTTTGAAATTCATAGGGCTTCAAGGAAAATAGTGCATCATGGAGTTTGCCTTTCTACCCTGTATCCTGGTCTCAAAGTCTCAAGTGGATGCAAAGCACCATAAGGTGTTCTCTTCAGTCTAGGCTGGCTCCCACAATGCCTGAGGTTGTCCCGCATCGCGAGAACCTATTCGGTGGTTTGGATTCAGAGCACTGCCATTGTAGCCAGAGAGGAATGGCCAAGGACAAGGCCAGATACAGGTGCTTCCCTGAAACCAGCCAGGAATCAGTCGGTGCCAGTTGCTCTAGGTTATGGCACAAGTTATGTATCTTTGAGCAAACCATATCCTCTCCCTGGTTTTACTTATCTATAAAATGGGTGGGATGATTTTTTTTTAATGATGATTTAAAACATCTTTGCTTGTTCATATGCACATTGAAATCAGATGCCAAATTTTGGGTGTATGTGTGGTTTATTAAATAGTCTTAACATACTTGGGATATAAACATGAGATGATTCCATCTTTCTCTAATGATTGCCTTCAGCTGGATATATCAACTCTTTTCTATCCCGGGCAGCATCTTGGGCCAATTCCATCACTCTTCTGTCACTTTCAGTTATTAGAATTTGAGTCCAGTTTATACCCCATTTAGATCTTTCCTCCCCCAGTAAAGACTTTAGCCATGTGCTAAGGTCTGGAAGTTTGTGTCTGACCCCAAAGGCGATGGTGTTAGTAGGTGATGGTGCTTTGGGAGGTGTCATCTCCCCTCAAATTCCTGGGGTGGGGTAGGTTTCCCTGGCTCTAATTGCTTTGGGTTCACTTTAGAATGTAGGGTACATGGTGACTGTTCCCCTAGCCTTGGGCTTTGCTACCAATCCTAGAACCACTGGAAAAATCCATACTCGGCATTTTATTACTAGTATATATAGTTGTTTTCCAGATTCCAGCAGATCTTCACAGGGTCATACGACTAAAATAAGATTAAAAGCTATTGAAATATATGATATCTAAGGGAGTTCTGGTGCAGTTTATGATTTTAGTTGGAACAGAAGTGTGCTTGTGTTTCAACATTAATTGAGAAGGTTGGTAAGACGTAGCTACTTTTCCTGTACCGGTTCCTGTGGCAGAAACTTAGGTTGGGTGACTATGAAATTCTGTAAGAAAATTCTGAAAGGAGGCCCCACATGAAGGGGAGACCATATCTCTGAGTAAGGGCTGGGTATCTATAGTCAGGGAGACCATGGCAAATGCCCACATTCCCCCTACCTCAAAACCCCATAGAAAGAGGTTAGGCAGGAAGTGCCTCCATGAGGATGGGTTCCATAGTAGGCTTGAGAGATGGCGCTGTGGGTCCTGCTACATGGGGGGAGACCAGGAAACAGAAAAAGGCACCCTGAGGCAGACTCTACACAGAAGTAGCAGCAGTAATGTCCCTTGAAGTGAATTGTTTCCAATCTTGTCACTTCTTGCTTACTTACCCTGGAATATTTAATGAAGCCTAGAACAGGGGCCCATTTTTCACCTTGGCTCTACCTCTAGGCACGAGAGAAGGGCCTTTGCATTTGAATGGTCCGTTCTCTTCTCTCATCTCTATACATTTCCCCTCAACACTAGTGTGGGGGCAGCAGCCCTGCTTAGTTCAAAATTCTTAATTAGGGTAGGCTAGGCTATATTGTGGTGAGAAATACATCCTCAGATCTCAGTGGCTTAGCACAATCAGAGTTCATTTTTCACTTAGATAAAATCTGTATAGGTCAGCAAGAGCTAGCCTCTATCTGGAGATTCAGGACCCCAGACTCCCTCCATTCTGGGATACCACCATCTTAACACATGTCCTCTAAGATGGCGGAGGAAGAGAGGGATGGAGCAGATCTCTTCATGAGTCAACCTTAGATGCCCTGGGCTTTAATTTCCTTAATGAATGCTGCATTTCTTCACAGGTACCCTAGACATTTATCATGTGCAAGGTCTATTTCTATCTCTGCAATTGATTATTATAATGTACTTGCCCAATAATGTTACAATGAGTTAGAACCTAACTTGCTTGAGCCCCACTAGATCTGTTAATAGCACCGTGCATTTATATAACCCTTTTATTTTCAAAGAGCTTTTAGATTTATCATCTCATTTTGCTCCTTCAATATCTTTCTGAAACGTAAAAGCCCACGTCCTCCACTCACTATTCGATTAATAAAGCCAGATTCAGGAGGGCTCTATGCTTTACCTGTGCCCCACAGGTGCGGCCGACCCATCCAATAGTCCAATGACAGTGAAATTAGGGTGACCACAGGTGGATGGAGCCCCCACGTCCCTTGTGGATCCTCTCTCTCTTTCCTCTCTCCCACTTCCTGTCCAGGCTACCCCAAAGTCTCTTTCTTTACCACCTATCTAAAATCTGTCCTTTTTCATTTACTGGCACCACCTTAGGTCTGGCAGAGACCTAAGTATCCAATTTAATAACATAATAATAATTCAGTCAATTCCCTTTGAATACTTGACGATTGGATCCTAAATGGAGCACACAGAACTTGAAGTCAGATGAATGTATCCTTTCTTGAAATTCCCAGAAGTTTTTAAGGCTCTTGAAAATATGTTAGAACTGTCAAAACTAAGAGGTTTGGCATTTTAAAATGTGAAATACAAATCACAGCTCTGTTTGGTATGAAACAACATAAAATTGCAAGTTTTGAATAAAAGAAGAAATAAAAGAAGAGATTTTGAATTAAATAGGGTCATTTGCAAACATGCATTTATCCCTACTCCCTCCTGAGATACCATTAAGTATCAAAAAAAAAAAAAATAAAAAAGAGGGGCGAGAAGAAAAATTGTATAAATATGCCAAGACAAAGAGAACAGGAGCAAAGTGAGTAAGAGAGATGAACACATTTGGAAAGATGGGGTGTGGGTGGTGGAGACAGCTAGAATACATGAAGTGGGGATGCCCATGAGGACCTGATGATTCATACCCAGAGCCAGAAGTTTCAGGGACGGGAAGGTCAAGGTATTTCAGAAGACAAGGATAAGGCACATAGATAGACAGGTTGACAGAATACAAATCTGTGTAAGGAGCAGCTAGACCCCAACACCTTCTCTTCTTTGGCTGCCTGTGGGAGATGGCTCTAGAGAACCTCTACCAGGGATTTTCTGAATTCAGGGCATCTGGCATAGAGCAGAGTGCACTCTGGGTATGGCACTGAAAACAGAGGAATCAATTCCAAGGTCATAATTGACTGAGGAGAGCCCGGCCCCTTTCCTTTGCTCAGCTCCCACAGGAATGCTGGCTGCCTATTTTATAACCTCCATGCAGAAGTCAGGAAAAGCATTTCAGAACAGAGAGTAAAAAAGGTAGAAACAGGACCAAAAAAAAAAAAAAAATCTGAAAAAAAAAGAAAGAAAGAAAGAAAAAAAATTATGGACTCGATCTACAAGGTCTAAATCTAACTGATAGGAGTTCCAGAAAGAGAGAACAGAAAAGATTGGTGGGAGGAAATTTTCAAAGATGTAATAAAAATACATTTCCAAGACTGAAGGACTTGAGTTTCAGATAGAAAGGGCCTGTCATATGCCCAGCACAGTGGATGAAAAATTACCCACACCAAGGCCAGAGTATTAGAGATGAAGAAAAGATCCAAAAAACTTAAAGAAAGAGAGGATGGGGAGGGTGGGAAGGAAAGAAGTGTGTGTGTGTGTTGGGGTGGGGAGGGGGAATTAAATCATATAAAAATAAGTAGGAATCAAAATAGTAACAGACATCTTAACAGCAACCCAGGCCCCAGGATGCTGGCAGATAAGAAGCAATCCTTCAAAATCCATAGGAAAAATATTCTGTAGTCTAGAATGCTCTGCATGGCTAAACTGTCAAGGATAAAACAATTACCTTTCATGCACCCATTTTTCTTAGAAGGGTATGCTCCACAAAAATGAAAGAGTCAAAAAAAACCCACCCCAAAACAACAAAAAGCCATAAGATCTAGGAGATCGAGGAGCCACCACAGAGAGAGGTGAAGGGGATTTGCAAACTGATGACAAATGTGTGCTGGGTGACAGCTGTGCAGCAGGTCTAAAGAAAAACTTTTCAGATTAGAGCAGGAGGATGAAGGGGTCTAGGAGAAGTGTTACAAAGAGAAAAATGGAACTTAGAGATTATCTCATATATCTGACTTTAATGAAAATTGTTTTACAGCTGGGTCAATGTTTAGCATGAATTAGTGATTGATGCCCAGAAAAACAAGCAAATGTAAAGGTAAGGCAATTTCAACTTTAGGAAAAATGAAAACATGTACAAGAAAATAGATGTAATTATAAAACACTTTCTGTCTCAGTCGTGAACAATATTTATATGGCTCTGGAAATGTACACACTGAAGTAATTCATCCAAAAGTTGTGATTCTGAAGGGAGGATGGGGAGGAATGTTCGTGGGATTGCAGGGGGAGAGGGTGGGAGTGAAGGGCTCAATCCTCACCTTTATGAAAGAAGTTGATGGATATTGCCCCAAACAGATCAAGGACTGGCCTTACGAGTGTCTTGCTTGGAAAGATAAAGATACGTACCAGGAAAGACATGCAGAAAAGTTGTAGTT